GGAACAAGACAAGGATGTCCACTCTCACCACTGCTTTTCAATATAATACTGGAAGTCCTAGCCAGAGCAGTAAGACAAGAGAAAGACATACAAGGAATCCAAATAGGAAAAGAAGTCAAACTATCACTATTTGCAGATGATATGATAATATACCTAGAGAACCCCCAAAACTCCACAGAAAAACTAATTCAACTAATCAGTCAGTTCAGTAAAGTGGCAGGATACAAAATCAACACGCAAAAGTCAGTAGCCTTCCTATACACAATAAATATGAAGAAGAAGAAGAAATCAAAAAACCATCCCTTTTATTATTGAAACAAAAAAAAAATCAAATACTTGGGAATAAATCTAACAAAAGAGGTAAAGGACCTATACAAAGAAAACTATAAAACACTGTTAAAAGAAATAGAAGAAGACACAAAGAAATGGAAAGACATCCTCTGCTCATGGATTGGAAGGATAAACATTATTAAAATTGCCATCCTACCAAAAGCAATATACAGATTCAGTGCTATTCCAATAAAAATTTCAATGTCATTCTTCAAAGAAATAGAACAATTATTGATGAAATTCATATGGAATCACCAAAAACCCCGAATAGCCAAAGCTCTCCTGAAAAAAAAAAAAAAAGGGAATGGAGGCATCACACTCCCAGACTTCAAACTATACTGCAAAGCCATAATCATTAAAACTGCATGGTATTGGAACAAGAACAGACACACAGACCAATGGAATGGAATAGAAAATCCAGAAATAAACCCACAGATTTATGGTCAACTAATCTTTGACAAAGGAGCAAAGACTATGCATTGGAGCAAAGAAAGTTTGTTCAATAAATGGTGCTGGGAAAACTGGGTCACTACATGCAAAAGAATAAAGCTTGACTACTACCTAACACCATGCACAAAAACCAACTCAAATGGATTAAAGAACTAGACATAAGACCTGAAACCATAAAATACATAGAAGGAAATATAGGCGAAACACTCCATGATATGCACATCAAAGACATCTTTACAGACACATCACCCAAAGCAGTGATAGTGAAGGCAAAGATAAACAGCTGGGACTACATCAAATTAAAGAGCTTCTGCACAGCAAAAGAGACAATAACAAAAAGAGAAACCCCACTGACTGGGAGAACATTTTGGCACACAACACTAATGATAAAGGACTGATCACAAAAATCTACAAAGAGCTGATGAGACTCCACAAAAACAAAGAAAATAATCCATTCAAAAAATGGGCAGAAGAGCTAAAAAGAAACTTCTCTGAAGAGGAAATGCAAATGGCCAACAGGCATATGAAAAAATGTTCAACATCCCTTGTAATCAGGGAAATGCAAATCAAAACTACCATGAGATACCATCTTACACCAGTGAGAATGGCACATATTAAAAAAACTAGCAACAATGAATGTTGGCGAGGATGTGGAGAAAAAGGAACTCTCCTGCACTGTTGGTGGGAGTGCAAACTGGTCCAACCACTATGGAGAGCTGTGTGGAGATTTCTTGACCTACTAAACATAGAGCTTCCATATGATCCAGCAATTCCACTCCTGGGTATTTACCCAAAGGACATAGAAACATCAATTCCAAAGAATACCTGCACCCCTATGTTTATAGCAGCACTATTTACAATAGCTTAGCTTTGGAAACAACCCAAATGCCCAAAAATAGATGACTGGATCAAGAAGATGTGGTACATAAACACCATGGAATATTACGCAGCATTCCAAAAAGATGAACACATGCAATTTGCAGCAACATGGATGGTGCTGGAAGGGATCATGCTCAGCGAAATAAGCCAGAAAGAAAAAGAGAAATACCGGATGGTCTCACTCATAGCAGGAATCTAGAAAATTTAAGTAAGGGACCAGGAAAAAGAATAACTATAAGAAAGTAAAAATCAAAATCAACAAACAACTATGAACCAGAGACACTCTATGGGGGGCGGGGGCGGGAGGGGAGGGATTGGGGTCAAAATAAGGGGGTCGCAATTGTATGGGGAATATAAAAATAAAATTTAAAGAAAGAAGATTAAAAAAGAAAAGGAGTCAGAAAGAAAAATTATTTATTGCCCTTTTTGTACCATCTAGAATTTGAAAAGATCATCATTTAAAAATCTTGGTCAGAAATTATGGTAGCTATTTCAAATAGGAAAGTTAGGCACATGAAAACAAGTAAACATTTGTCATTAAACCTTTGGGAAAAATTTTACTTGAAAGTCTGTACAAATTAAATATTTAATATCTTTCCAAATCTTGGTATCTTAATTTGTAATTATATACCATAAAGAATGTGTAGTGATCAACAAGCCACTATGGACCAGAGACACACTGCGGGGGCTGGAGGGAGAGGAAGGGTTAGGGTCAAAATAAGTGGGGTGCAGTTGTATGGGGAATATAACCAAAATGAAAATGCATTGTGCAAAAATGAAAAATGATGTAAGAATTATATAAAATAAAATATTAAAAATAAAAAAAGAATGTGTAGTGAGTGTTTTCTCCAAGGCTTACACAAATATGAGCTCCCTGACATGCCCTCCTCCCTGCCCTCAGCATTCATTGTGCAGGACAGAAGTTACCTATTTTTTTCTGGACACTTGCCTAGAAGTAGATCTTGCTCCTCTGCTTATCCCCTTTTATTAGAACTGAGTTTATAATCTATGCTAGTCTGGTTTATTACCTGACTTTTTTTAAAAATTGAAGTAACATTATATTATAACATTATATGATCCAGATATTCATCTGTTTAGAATAATTACCTCACTCCTAAGTCCCTTTGTTACAGGTCTGATACTTTCTACAACATTGATAACATAGAGCAAAAGCCTGTGCATATTGGAATTGGGATAGGCTCACTTGATTATTAAGATTCTGCAAGTATTTGCTTTGTGCACATTTTGTAGTTTTGATAGCCTTGAAATTGGGTGGGTCCTATAGGGAAAATGAAAAAGAAATGATTGAAAAAGGTCTGTGACTTTCATATTTGTAGCAAAGGCTAATATTAGTGGGGGTAGAAGAGTGTGTGGAGACAGAGATGAAGGTAGAAGGACAGTATTCCTTGCGGTATATTTCTTTTTCCTTAGAAAATTTGTTGGAGAGAGATAGATAGACACTGGAAGAGCCTGACTATCAAGTGAAATTTAATTTAATTTAATTTTTTTTAGAGATTTATTTATGCATACAAGAGCTGGGGTACAGGTCATAGATGCGGGGGGTGAGAGGATTCACCAGAGACAATGAGGAACAGAACAGGCAGATTGACCAAAGTACACTGCTGAGGGTAACAGCAGGTGAGACTGGAGAGGTCTGCTGTGCCATGTGGGTTGCTCCCTGGTTGGCCGGGGATCAAACTCGTGCTGCAGAGGCTGTGGATTGCTTCATAGTATGGTGCTTAATCCCTTGCGCCACCAGGGAGGCCCTATTAGGTGAAGTTTTACTTCAAAAAAACTTGGGTTGGAGAAAGACTGTGTATATTAATTGAGATTCTTTGGTTGTACACAACAGAAATACGTTAATGAAATTCGGGAGAAGAAAAATTTATTGAAATGCCACTCACTTTGACTTGAGAAAGAAGACAATTAGAGCAGCTGAGCAGTTGACATTCATTGGCCCTCCTTCCAGGTTGTAGTTAAGTTGAAAATGTCCTGTTCCAAGCATTTCCCTCCTGCCTTCTTTTTTTAAAAAAGATTTATTTATTTATGCATATAAGAACTGGGGTACAGGACAGAGGTGTGGGGGTGGTGAGAGGATTCACCAGAGACAGAATGGGGAGTAGAACAGGCAGATTGACTGAAATACACTGCTGAGGGGAGCAGTGGGTGAGACAGGAGAGGTCTGCTGCGCCATGTGGGTAGCTCTCTGGCTGGTGATCGAACTCATGCTGCAAAGGCTGTGGATAGCTTCATAGGCTGCGTCTTAACCCCTTGTGCCACCAGGGAGGCCCCTCCCCTCCTGTCTTCTAATTGGTCAAGTTCTAGTCATGTGCCTAACTTTACTATGGGGGTAGGTAATGGTGTATGTGGAGGTGGGAGATAGGTGGAATAAAATTCTGTACAACTAAGAATTGTGTTTTATTTCTGTTTTCTTGGCCAGGAAACCAAGGTCTTATGTTTATTTAACTTTATCATCTCTTGGGAGTATCTTAAAATTCTGTTCTTTCAAGGTAGAGAAGGCACATTTTTTAATTTCCTACTGTGCTGTATGTGCATCAGGAGCTCAATTTACTGTGAACTGTTTGGCTTTCTATACTAGGTCATTTCTGTATTTCCTTGGCTGTTCACCCGAAATTTTGCCTATAGTAGATCATACTTCATAATTTCAGATTATGTTTGAAAACCGAGAGCTTGGTGTTCAGTGAAGATGATAATGTACATGATCACAGAGAGGGACCCCCTCCCCTAGCTGAATCAACATTTTGTCTGTATTTTACCATGCCAGCAGGGTCACGTGTTATAATTTGATTGCTGGAACTATTCACTAGTGATTCATGAAGTAATATAAGGCCCATACTCACAGACTTTTGTCTAGAAAGGTGATTTCATTTGCCTGATAGCAATGCAACTTTTTTTTTATGGGACTATAATATAATCTGACCTCTTTTGTATATCCTTTAAAAAATTATGTACATGGTATTTGGAAATGCATATACATTTGGAAGGGTTATAAAGGTTTAAAATAAAAAGATCTGATTTGAATCTTAGTTTCTGTAACCTTGGATAAATTGATTATATTTCCATATTTCAGTTTTTTATTAATGAGCATTAATAACATTATTAATGAACATTGCCGCTCAGATGTGAAAAAATCAGTATAGATTTTGGATACTATTCCTATCTATTCCTGAACTTTAACTTTCTGTAAAATGAGGGAGACTCTTCTTCTAGTCTAAACTTTTATTTGTTTCTTTTTGTTTAAAATAACTTGACGAGTTTTTAGGAATATTTTTCCCGTTGCAGTGCTCATCCAATGAAACATTTTTTCTCCCTTTAACCAGGCAATTTCAGTGGTGCAGAATGGCTGACCTCAGTCTTACAGATGCTTTAACAGACCCACCTCCAGAAATTGAGGAAGAGATAAAACGGGACTTTATTGCCACATTGGAGGCAGAGGCCTTTGATGATGTTGTGGGAGAAACTGTTGGAAAAACAGACTATATTCCTCTTCTGGACGTTGATGAAAAAACTGGGAATTCGGAGTCAAAGAAGAAATCATGCTCAGATACAAACCAGGTTGAAGGTAAGTATTTAAGCCAAATTTAATTGTTTAGAGGGTGCATTAGTTAAAAACCTTTAGGGAACTGAATTGATTTTTTAGTGTAGGCTAGTAACTATATAAATTTTTTTGTTTGAAACCAAGGGGGGTAGGCTCATTAACCTTTTAGTTGAGTATGTGTTCATGAAGCTATAGATATTTGTTCTGTAATATCTGAATTGCATTAAAATCTGCCACTTAATTTCCTATATTAAATGATCTGTTGTGCCTTCTTTGGATGTAGCTTTGTAAAGTAGGACAACATAAAATTCTGTGTTTCAGTCAAAACTTAATTAAGAGAGGAAGGAGAACAAGGATCTATCCATGGTGGTAGACTATGATTTCTTTTGTTCTATGACAGTAACACCTAAAGGGGGGGGATCCTACACTTACATAGAGCAAATAACACTGTAAAGCGATTATTATTTTTTTATTATTTATTTATTTATTTTTTTTAGAGGCATGTTTTTTTTTTATTTTATTTATTTGTTTGTTTGTTTGTTTTGTTTATACATGCACTGGGTACAGTCAGAAGCGCGGGAGGGCGAGAGAATTCACCAGAGCCAGAGCTGGGAGCAGAGCAGGCAGAAGGACCGAAGTACACTGCTGAGGGGAGCAGCGGGCGGCAGGAGAGGTCTGCGCGCCATGTGGGACCCTCCTCCGGTGGCCGGGGAGCAGCCGGGGATAGAACCGGCACTGCAGAGGCTGTGGGCAGCTTCGCAACCCAGCGCTCAACCGCTGCGCCACCGGGGAGGCCCACTGTAAAGCGATTATTAACTCAATTTTTAAAATTTTTTTTTTTAACTTTTAAAATATTTTTATTTATTTATGCGTACAAGAACTGGGTATAGGCCAGAGATGCAGGAGGGTGAGAGGATTCACCAGAGACAGAGTGGGGAGTAGAACAGGCAGATTGACTGAAATACACTGCTGAGGGGAGCAGTGGGCAAGACAGGAGAGGTCTGCTTCGCTATGTGAGTTGCTCCCTGGCCTGCTGGGGTCCAAACTCGTGCTGCAGAGGCTGCAGATTGCTTCATAGTGTGGTGCTTAACCCCTTGCACCACCAGGGAGGCCCATTTTTTTAAAAAGATTTATTTATGTATATAGGAGCTGGGGTACAGGCCAGAGGTGTGGGAGGTGAGAGGATTCACCCAGGACAGTGGGGAACGGAACAGGCAGATTGAAGTACACTGCTGAGGGGAGCAGCGGGTGAGTCAGGAGAGGTCTGCTGCTCCATGTGGGTTGCTCCTTGGCAGGCTGGGGATCGAACTCATGCTGCAGTGGTTGCGGACAGCTTCATAGATTGCATCTTAACCCCTTGTGCCATTAGGGAGGCCTCAATTAATGAAGTTTTTTTTTTTTTTTTTTAAAGATTTATTTATTTATTTATACAAGCACTGGGTACAGTCAGAAGCGCAGGAAGGTGAGAGAATTCACCAGAGCCAGAGCGGGGAGCAGAGCAGGCAGGAGGACCGAAGTACACTGCTGAGGGGAGCAGCGGGCGGCAGGAGAGGTCTGCGCGCCATGTGGGACCCTCCACCGGTGGCCGGGGAGCAGCAGGGGATCGAACCAGCGCTGCAGAGGCTGCTGGCAGCTTCGCAACTCAGCGCTCAAGCGCTGTGCCACCAGGGAGGCCCTTCATAGGTTGCATCTTAACCCCTTGAGCCACCAGGGAGGCCTGGATATTAACTCAATTTAAAAAAAGAAAAAAAGAACTCAATAAAAAAAAATTTAGAATGGAATTAGATGCCACTTGTCTTTGGGAGTAATATCAGGTCAGGATTAAAACATGGATGAAATCTTTTAAAAGAGGTTTGCTCTTTTTGTATATTTCTGGATCAGATTTGCATCAATGCTCATTTGGGTTATTGGTCTGTAGTTTTCTTGTGATGCTTTTTTTTTAAAAAGATTTTTTTATGCATAGAAGTATTGGGGTACAGGCCACAAATGCGGAGGGTGAGAGGATTCAGAGACAGAGTGGGAAACAGAACAGTTGGATTGACTGAAATACGTTGTTGAAGGGAGCAGTGGGTGAGACAGGAGAGGTTTGCTGCGCCATATGGGTTACCTCCCTGGCCACCAGGAAATGGGGAGTCGAACTTGTGCTGCAGTGGCTAGCTATTGCTTGATAGAGCTGTTTTTAACCCTTGTGCCACCAGAGAGGCCCCTTTCCTGTGATGCTCGTTTTGTTTTAAGATGAAATGGGAAGTATTCCATTCTAATTTATTTTCTAGAATAATTTCTAGAATAATTCTTTCCATAGTTGATTTTTAGTTTTATTGTCTTATACTCAGAAGGCATCTTTAAATTTTAAATTCATTTCTGTTTGTCAGAGTTCATCAGGATTCAGACCATGATTTGTCATAGGCAGTGTTCTGTGACTACTTGAAATACTGGTTTGTTTTTTTTTAAAGATTTTATTTATTTTTATACAAGAACTGGGGTATAGGCCAGATGCGCGGGAGGGTGAGAGGATTCACCAGAGACAGAATGGGGAACAGAACAGGCAGACTGATGAAATACACTGCTGAGGGGAGCAGCGGGTGAGACAGGAGAGGTCTGCTTCGTCATGTGGGATTCACGCTGGCTGGCTGGGATCAAACCCGTGCTGCAGAGGCTGTGGACAGCTTCACAGTGCGGTGCTTAACCACCTGAGCCACCAGGGAGGCCCTTGAAATACTGTTCATGATGCTGCGATTGTGTAGAGTACTCTTATTAATGTCAGTTAAGCTAGTTGATGATAGTGTTGTCTAGGTTTTCTATATACTTAGTGATTTTATTGTATCTACTGTAATTATTTCTGAGAGTTCGGTGTCGAAGACTATGTGATTGTGTGGATTTATTTCTTCAGTTTAGATTTTGTTACATGTAGTTTGGAGATCTGTTGTCATGTGCAGATGTTTTTTATTGCTCTATCTTCTTGATGAATTATCCCTCTTTATTCCTGGTAATACTGTTTGTTCTGAAATCTAATTTCCATCTTATGTTGATGTAGCTACAGTAGGTTCTTTTTGATAAATGTTTGCATGTATATATGCCTCTCAATCTGTTCACTTTCAGTGTGTTTATTTAATTAAAATGGAGTTCTTAAGGATAGAATATAATTGACTCTGGATTTTTAACCAGATCTTAAGATCTCTCTTTTATTAAGACTCGTTGAGGCTATTTATAAAATTGATAAGGTTGGATTTACATTTGTCATTTTGCTAGCTGCTTTGTATTTGTTATTTCTGTTTTTTTTTTTTTTTTTTAGATTTATTTATTTATTTATTTATACAAGCACTGGGTACAGTCAGAGCCCAGGAGGGTGAGAGAATTCACCAGAGCCAGAGCAGGGAGCAGAACAGGCAGAAGGACCCAAGTACACTGCTGAGGGGAGCAGTGGGCGCTGCAGGAGAGGTCTGTGCACCATGTGTTACCCTCACTGATGGCTGGGGATCAAACTGGAGCTGCAGAGGCTGCAGGCAGCTTCGCAGCCCAGTGCTCAACCACTGTGCCACCAGGGGATGCCCAGTTATTTCTGTTCTTTATTCTGTTTTTCTTTATCTGCTTTTGGAGTGATTGAATATATGAAACTCCAATATTGACTTATGTGTGTGTATGTGTGTGTATATTTTCTAGATGTTATAGTGTACATCTTTGATTTCCTCAGATTTGCCTTTAGTAATATTGTGTACTTAATGTGTAGTATAAGATTTACCAAGCAAAATATTATTTCTCTAATTCCTATTTCTTTTTTTATTTTACAAATAGAAAAGAAATTCAAGGTTTATTTTACATGGGTAAACTTACTTTTTGGAAAAACTTTGTGGCGCTCCATACTTAAATACTTGGTATAAAATAACTATAGTCCCTATGATATAGACACCACCCTCTCCCAATATGGCAACAGATACACTCAAACATGCTGTATAAAGTATAATTTTAATTTTATTTCTCCTCAGAGAAGATTTTTTTCCACAGTCCTTAACAACTTAGCTTCTTTACATGGGCTTTTGGGTGCTTTACATTAGCACCACAGGTCTAAATCGGGCTGGGGATATTTGGTCCTTCTGGGCCTCACAAGAATGATTCCTGACTACTTGCAGTGAATGGCAATGGCACAACTCACTCACTAATGCAGTTTCACATACAGCTTGGGAAGCACATAGGTTTCGAAGACGGCTAGTTTTGGATATGTCTGTAACAACCAGCGCCTCCACTGTGTTTCAAAGGACCACCTTCTTAAATGGTCTTGTCCTGCAGTTGATGCAGCAAATAGGCTGCACGTGGCAACAACCCTTTTAGGCATAACCATTATTGCTGCTTTTCTTGGTCATTTTGGAGGCAAGGACTCAAGAAAGTCCATTTCCTATTTCATCTTTTGTGTTTGTGTCAGACACTTAATTTTACATATGTTAGTATATGTAAATGCATTGTTACTGTTTTTGCTTTAGATTGTCAGTTATCTTTTTGAATGAATAAAAACTTTGAAAAATACCTTTAAAATTGAGTTTTAATTTTTACCATTTTGGGTACTCTTCATTTGTGTAGATTCATATTTCTATCAAGTACCATAATCCCTCTGCCTGAAAACCTCTCTGGCATTTCTTACAGTATAAGTCTGCTAGAGATGAATTATCTCAGCTTTAATTTATTATAAAACAAAATTTCAATTTTGGAGGATAATTCTATGTTGATTATTTTCTTTCAATAATTTAAATATGTCTCTCCATTGTCTTTGTGTTAGTTTTGTTTCTGATGGGAAACCTTGATCTATATTCTTCTGGCCCCCTTTTGCTTTTTTTTTTTTTTTTTTCCCTGATTCACGATTTCATCTCTAATTTCAGCAGTTTGAATGTATTGTGTTTAGGGGATATTTTGACATTTGTCCTTATTTGGGGTTCCTTTGAGCTTTATGTGTGCTTTGATGTGGATGTGGTTCATTAAGTGTGGAAATTTTTTGGCCATTATCTTTTAAAATATTTCTTTGGAGCCTCTCTGGT